ACGAGTTCATTGTGTTTCGGAATAGTTCCTCGCGATTCGGAGGCTTCCAGAATGAACTTTTACGATCCGGAGCACTACATTTGGATGTAAATCAACAATACCCAAACATCTAAACTACTTTTCAGTTTTAAACTCCGAAATGTTTTCAGTTCATTCCGGAGATGTTCTACGCATTTCGGAACAATAATTGTAGATAAATAGGCACCTTATAAAAACAAGCAAACTATGTAAAGAGAAAGCGAAGAACGTGCTCGTAAAATAACGGGGTCGTAGTGCTCTTCTTCCATGTCGAACTTGCGTGCCAAAGATCGGACTTGCGTGTCGGAGATCGGAATGACGATCAGAATTGAAAGTCGAATGACCCGGAATCCCGTGTCGGAATCGGAATTGGAAGTCGGAGCAGGATCCAGAATTAAGGATTTGGTTCGGATTTTTTCAAATTATATTCTAGAATTTGAAATTCAAATTTCCGATCCGGAACACGAACAGATAGTCCGAAATGGCTATTCCGGACCCACGATAATGGGCCGGCCACCCAAAAATTAGTCCGAAATATGTTCCAGAATGCTCCATTCCGGAATAAGTGGCCATTTTTTTATAAAAAAAAAGTTTATACTTTTATAAAACACCCAAAAAATGGTTAGATTACTCAATTTCTCATTTTTTATTGATTATGAGAGGTGGTGTTGAGTATGATGATTGTCATCATCATTCATGTATATGAGTCAACCTCATGTATTCTCATTAGACATTTTATTACCGAACTTATTTTGATTTATGTTCATATAGATGACTTAGGAGTTACTTAAAAGATAAGGATGATATTTTAAAGGACTTGGTTTGTGAGGTTGCATCCAAACCTATGATGATTATTAAATTAATTACTGCCTCACAAATTTAACCAAAACTTTATAGTTTTGGTACTTTAAGACTTTACACTGTACACAAATATTTTAAAATGTTTCCATAATTTGTTTACAAAATATGTGACCGTATGTTTTCCGCAAAAAAATTTAAAAAATAAATAAATAAATAAATAATTTTTACAACCGAGCTTGAAGAAGGTAAGAGTGAGCATTTGGACCGAACCAAACTAGACCGGCTCTTGGACTGAACAGTTTTGGCAGAAATTGGTGGACCTTGGACCGGACCGGTTGAGGCCGGTCCAGGTCCGGATTTTCCGATTCTTGTACCCGTTGGACCGGTACAATTTTAGTTGCTAATGGTACAACTCATTGAAGCCTACAGCAAATTAGTTTATCTATTACGATTGTAGGGGTGAGTATTTGGACCAAACCGACTCTTGGATCGGATCAGTTTTTTAGAAATTGATGGACCTTGGATCGAACTTGTTGAGACTGGTCCATGTTCGGTGCAAAGGTCCAAATGCTCATCCTAGAAGAAAGCCTTTTGTCATTCTCGGGGAGAAATCTTGAAAAAACCTTAATCTTTGCAAAACATATTATCCAAACAATTTAGTTTTAAATAAATGATCGATTAAAACGCCATTATTTACATATGATTTAAAAAAATCATTTGTGCATGACATTTTATTTTAGAGCAGAATGCACAACTAAAGATACTGAATAAAAACAAACTTAACAAGACACCAAAATAACTGAGGATTTAACGAAAAAAATATAATAATATTTTTTTAAAAATATTTGCCCTTGGAAAATAAAATTTTATCATGTGAGTGTGTGACTTAAAAATAGATCTCCCAAAAAGAAAAGAAAAAGAAAATGATATTGCAAATGTGGTATATGATTTGCATAAAGTATGATGTAGGCAGTTATGACGTGTCCCGTCCATTTTGCGCCACTGGATGATCGTTGGTGAGATTAACGGCTGAGACTAGTTCTAAGCTTTGTTGATGAGGCGTGTATTGTGCGTGTACAAAAAGCGTGTGGAGGCTTCGAGTTCGAGACAAGTGCTTTTGGTTATCAAAGCAAGTGGCAAGTGTACATAAATAGCTCCATGGGTTTCATTCGTGATTATTTATCGATAACGATGATGATATATGTCGCATTAATCTTTTATAAAAGAGAGTAAGCACATGCCTACATTAAAGGGTGTTATTCGGTTTGATTTTTCGGTTTTCAGTTAAAACGGTTCGGTTTTATCGGTTTTTTTACATTTAAAATCTAATCATAACCAAACCAAATAAGGTTCGGTTTAATCGGTTATGGTTTATTCGGTTATGGTTTATTCGGTTCGGTTTAACAGTTAAACCGAATAAAATTCAGGACGTAAAAATAAATATTAAACTTAAGGAAAAAACGACTTACCAAAATATTACCAAACAAAGAAACTACATTAATATATAAAATATTATATTCAAGTTTTCGAAATAGGTCAATATAATTTTAATCGTACGACTAAAGATTATTTGGTTAATTTGTTTTTGCTTTTTAATACAAAATATAGAACAACTATAACTTTATAATGGTTAATAACTAAAAAAGTCATGGAAACCTTAGTAACTAATCAATAAATTTATATATATATATATATATATATATATATATATATATATATTATTCGGTTTAACCAAAACAATGAAAATTTAACCAAAAACCAAACCGAATAAGGTATCCTTATTCGGTTAACCAAACCAAATAACCCGAACCAAATAAACCAAACGTCATTTGGTTCGGTTTGGTTATTCGGTTTTGGTTTTTTATGACACCCTACATGCTTCATATGTATTAATGTATGCCAGAAAGAATTCGGATTTCGTGAACGTAAGTCGTCGAAAATCAGATATTATCATCATTTAATCATTTTCCAAAAGTATCGCCGTAAAAGAACAAATTATTGATGGTAAATATCATTCTCATTGCTATGAACCGTGAGTTACAAATAATATATCTACAATAATACAAGGCCAAAGGGTTGGCTAAGTCGCTAAGCTAGACTATCAAAATAGGCTCCCAAGTGGGTTAGACTAAGAGCAATCCCAACTATAACAAAAAAAAAAAAAAAAATCAAATATATTTTCAACTACAACTATACACTCAAAATCACACCAAAACATATATACATCCAATATTTTAAAAATAAAATAACATATTCTTTAAATTTATCTATAATTATTATCGGTTTTACTAATATATAGTATAGTTAATTATTAAAACTAAAATATACAAATATCTACTAATAATATATGTTGAAGGTTGTCGCATTTATAATATCTTTATTTTTGCATTACACAAAGTTCAATTAACGTCAAAACTATAGAACGAGATTTAACGGCCTTTTGATTATTTTGGAAAATATCAAAATCATAACAAATATATTAATTATTATAAATAAATAATATAGAATACAAGGTATATAATAGTTTGGAAATTAATCGATGAGTAGATAATATTACTATATAGTGAAAAGGGGTTTTGGTGTTTGAGATGGTGGTCCGCTATATATGGCGGCTACTATTGACTCACACTAAATTACTGGTGCTTTTAAAGGTCGGTTGGAAGGAATTTGACCTCTATTTTTGTGATACAGTGACCCATTGGAGAAGGCCTAATACACAACATTCTAGTTTAACATCCCCATAATTTTATTGGAAGGAATGTCGTATGTTGCAAATGAATTTTGAATTTAGAAAAAAGATTGGATGGTACTTGTACTATGAAGATAAGGGAGGTTGCGACATGATCAATGATCACAGACAAAGCGAATGTCAATTTCGATGTGTTTGATGTATTGGGGCTAGAGAAAATTAGTGAGCAAATAGACAATGCTAATATTGTCATAATATACAATGGTTACCTTAGCAGGCCAACAACAAAGTTCCATCGGTAGGTTGCAAATCCAACTAGTACAAATCCAACTAGTAGGTTGCAAATCCAACTAGTTTTAGCAATAACATTTGTCACCTTCAGTATTTAGCATATGAACTATAACAAGAAATAGCATTTTGGCGTTTGGGTGACCATGACACCAAACTGTCACCAAGGAAAATACAATTGACGAAGGTAGACCGTCTATGAATAAATGTATTAAAATGTTAATGGATATACTAATGTGTAAATGAAAACATGAAATCAATGTATAAAATTGTGAAAAGGATGTTTTTTTCTTTGCTTATAAAAAAAGAAAAAGAAAACAAGATTTTAACCCATTATATTGTATATATCCAGTTATTTTTCAAATCAAAAAGTTAATATTAGTTTCTAAATTCTTAACGCAACTCCAATCGTCAGACAAAAATCATTATTTTTGTAGTTTGGAGGCTAAAAATCCTTCAACCGACTTTTAAATTTAACATCATTTTTGTGTTGAGTTCGTTTTAACACCATATATAAAGGTCAAATCTGTAAGCCTTTAAAAACACTATTTTAGATGTTGGTTGTAATTCAATTATCATTTTGATGTTAACAGCAATCATTATTATGAGTTATTATGATGTTATGTGGTTGGAAAACTCTTAATTTTTAATGTTTCTACTAGATCCACTTCATTATGGATTAAGATTATAAGACCTTTTTGTAAGTAGTTTATTTCTTTTCATCTAAAGTACGAAATATAATAATTGTTATAAAATAAGTTATTATCTAAATTGAAAAATAAAGCTATAGAGAAAACGGAAAAGGTCACAATTTTCCTTTTGAAAAACAAAAATTGCAACGCTTTCAACACACCCCAATATACGCGGTCCATTATCCATCTCACTCCACCGTATAAGAAACCATCCACCCTTTAGGGTTTCAAACATTCCTCATCCCGAATTCTCTCATTCTCCTTCACCATTTTCATCTAACTTCACCTCAATTCCACTTTTCTCCTCTGGGTTTTTCTTCCATATTGAAAACATTTTTTGGGTTCTTCCTAGTTTTCTCCAAACCCATTTTTTCTCCACTACTGTGCGCAATTGTGTCGTCTCCCCTGAGTTTCTCTTTGTGATCACCCAAAAAGCTCCAGGTTTTGTGTTTCTACAGTCTTAAATTCATCAATAAGTTTGTGGGGTTTCCTACTTTTGATGTGAAAAGAAAATGCGAACTGATTATCAAGGCTCATCTTCTCCAAATTTCACAAGTTTTGGGCGTTCAATTCTTAGTATGAAACGCGATCCAGTGGTTCACTCCATAGACCATGAAATCCCACATCAAGAAAAGGAAATCGAAGCTTTTCAAAGACAGGTAACTCAAAGGTTTCATGAGTTATCTGCAGTCGATTCACAGGAACTTTTATCCGTTTCTTGGATTTCAAAACTCCTTGATGTTTTCCTGTGTTGTCAAGAGGAATTCAAAGCCATATTATTCAACCACAATTCTTCTTTGAGCAAACAACCCATGGATAAACTGATTTCTGATTATTTCGAAAGGAGTATAAAGGGTTTAGACGTTTGTAACGCCATTAGAGATGGGATTGAGCAGATCAGACAATGGCAGAAGCAATTGGATATTGTGTTATGTGCTTTGGATAACCAAAAAGGTCTTGGTGAAGGTCAAATCCGAAGAGCTAAAAAGGCTTTGATCGATTTAGCAATTGAGATGCTTGACGAGAAAGATTCAAACACAAATCTTGCTCAAAGAAACCGATCATTCGGGCGATATCAAAAGGATTCACAAGGACACAAATCTTTGAAGCATTTCAGATCATTATCTTGGAGCGTTCCAAGATCTTGGTCATCTTCAAAACAGCTCCAAGCAATCGGGAACAACATTGTTCCTCCAAAAACTAATGAAATCATCGCCACAAATGGACTGGCTGTGGTTGTTTACACAATGAGTCACGTGTTCTTATTTGTAATGTGGGCTTTAGTGGCTGCAATCCCTTGTCAAGATCGTGGGTTACAATCCCATTTCAACATGCCTAAAAATTTCATTTGGGGGGCACCGATTCTCTTGTTACACGAGAGAATTTTGGAAGAATCCAAGAAAAAAGAAAGGAGAAACACTTGTGGGCTTTTGAAGGAGATATATGGGATTGAGAAATCAGCTCGGTTTATGAACGAATTGACTGATTCCATTCAGTTCCCATTACCAGAAGAAAAGGAAGAAGAAGTCAGAAAAAGAGTGGACGAATTGAGGGTTGTTTATGGAGCTTTGAAGAACGGATTGGATCCATTGGAGAAGCAAGTGAGGGAAGTATTTCATAGGATTGTAAGAAGTAGAACTGAAGGACTTGATTCCATTGCAAGAGGAAGCGACTGATCAAGGGTTTGAGCTCTCTATTTGGTATCTTTTTTTGTTTCAAGAATGAGTGATCTTGAACAAACTTTGGTAATGTAAATGTTATAAACACCATATATATTTACCTTTTTTTTTTTTCTCTCTAGCTTTTTAACAACGATGGTTTGTTTTTGGTTAAATTGCCAAATATGATGATATGAAAAGCTGATAACACTGAAATCTTGTTATTGTTGTTTTGCGTTAATAGCTTAATTATGTACATAGAAAGTTAAGCTACAAGTTGGATCTTGATGCTTTGAATTATATGTTTTTATTATCAACATTATTCTTTGTTGGTGTTGGAGTTCCATATTAATGATCAAATCATGAGAAATTTGGACTCCATATATATCAAAACCCGAGTGGTGTCTAGACTAAAGAGTCACTCTTTATGTAGTTAAAACAATCTAATTCATCATTATGTGGTTGAAGTCTTCCTCTCTCCTCAACTATTGTAGAAAGAAATTCAAAGATCTCCACATATCTAACAATTGATTTTAAGAAATTGTTGACCTAACAGAATTTGTGAAAAGTTTACACATCCATCGGGAATTTATATTAAATCAACATAAGTTTATCTCTTCAAAATCGCTAAGTGTACATCTTAATGGCTCGATACCAAAATTATTTTAATTTATGGTAATTATGCAAAACGATTTTGATAAGAGGTGATGTATGTGAGATATTTGAAATTGATATTCTTGGTTGGGTTGAAGGTGACAAAAAAAATCTTTTGTTTATTCTTGAATAAAGAAATTCAATAGGAAATCGAGAATTTAATAACCAATACAACCTCATCTCAAAGTATTGACCTTTGACAAGAAGCCTTCTTTACTCACCTATTTTGACCAGTTCATAGAAGCTTCTATGGAATTCAACCATTTAAAGTTGACTTTGACTTATATATCAATATATTTAGGGATAATCATAGCTATGCAAATTAAATTAAAGATTTGTTGAACGGGTTATTCACTTATTTGTTAACATTCACAAAACTGACCGATATTTTATCCAATTTTTGAGCATTTGTTGAAATGAACAATATATCCGAATCACAAAATTGACCGATAATTTATCTAACTTTCAGATTTCAACCATATAAAAAGTGTATTTATCTTTCATTTGTATATCACTTAAAATTCTTATCAACCCTAACTCTAAAATGTTCGGTGTCACATCTTTTCATACCCGCATATATAAATGTACCTGACTTTGATAAGTTTTTGAATTTTTGTAAGTTGGTGTCGTATTTTTGAAATAGCCTGAAATGCTACGTTTAACATATCTACTAAAAAAATCACATAGCAAGTCCATCGAGGAACACTAATAATTTTATGGGCATGTCATGATTTGAACCTGGTCTTTTTGTGTAGAATTCTACTATTTAACCACCAAATTCTCATCGGAAAAAATACGAGTAGTTATGTGTTTACACCGAAAAACAGTTAAGTTGTAAATATCACAACCTTTATAAGGCTTACGAATGACAATGAATATAAATTGAGATCAGTTATACTTTGATTAAAAACATGAAAACTTCTAATATCTAATTATCATTAGTTTCTACATTCTAATTTTAAACTTCAAATTATTTATCTAAAAAAATCGTACACAAGTGTTTAATTTTGCACGGATTTTTAATGGAAGCGGATATCATTCTGTCTTCAAAACAATATAATTACTTTCACAAATCAAAATTGATATATAACTTACCACAAATATTAATAATTAATATATAAATTGAATATATAAATATCTTTGAATAAAGACAAAAAAATTATAAATCAAATATCAAATATCAAATATTATATGAAAAACATCAAATTTTAAATGAGAACTCATAAAAAGATGTAAGATTATATTTTAGCATAACGAAACAAAACATCGGTGTAATTTTCCAAAACTCATAAAGGTGGTAGGGTATGGTCAAACTTTGACCAGTCTTCTTGACCAAGATTCCAGACAGGAGTAGCTAGTGCAAATGGCAACCATGAACTGGATTATTTTCTTTTAAGTATTTTAACATTATACTTTTGATAGAAATGTCTTAACTTCTTGCCTTGTTATTTTTATAGGCACAAAGACAATTAAGCTTATGCCAATTAAGCTTTTAATATATATATATATATATATATATATATATATATATATATATATATATATAGATATATATATATTATATATATATAAATGAAAATGTTTTTGCCACTTATCATTTCCACAAGATTTTTACCACATGCCATTATGTGAGATTTTTGAATTACTTAAATTCCACATTGAATTATGTGATATTTTCATTTTTTTGTTAATAAAAAATTAATCAATTCCACTAATTAACATCTCTATTATTATATATGTAAAATATTTATTATATTAAATGTCTAAATCAACACTATAATAAATGAAACATTTATTATTTAAGGTAAATATATTTTTCTCCAAAAAATGAACATAGTAATAAATAGTTTGTTTTTTCTACCACTAAAAACATTTATAATGATTTTTTGTTATATAAATTAAAATAATGAAATATTATAAAACAATATTGTCAAAATTGAGATGTAATAAAATATATTTCGTTAAACTTTGAGATGAAGTAGGCATTAAAAATATTTAATGTTTACACCTTGATATAAAACTTTTAATTTTAATAAACTCGTGTATTACACGGGTCTCACACCTAGTATATATTATATATATATATATATATATATATATATATATATATATATATATATATATATATATATATATATATATATATATATATATATCAGTGTTGTACAAGTCCTGATTAATCTTCAATTCATTCCTAGGCGCTCCCTGATCGATTAGAAGGTGCCTGTCGATTAATCTTTGCCTACAGAATGAGTGAAACATTAAAAAATAATGAAAATTTAACATATTGAAGAAGTTCTATCTCGGTAGAAACTATTTTAGGAATGATTAGTGTTGTATTAAAAAAAAGAATATCCCGAAAAAGGGCAAAAGAGACAAATCCAAGGTCATAACACCACTGTTTATATCACAATTCAAATGTTTAAAATGAGACATAGAGGAACAAGAAATTCTCAAAACATTTCAGAACCTAAAGGTAAATATTTCTTTTTTAGATACAAATAAGCAAGTCCCAGACAAGTTCTTTAAGGAACTTTGCATATTGAGAAGGAAACTAAAAGGGAATTGTAACATCTAAAAAATCAAGAATAAACTTTTTATTTTTAAATCCATTTCAAAATCCTTAATTTACACAAAACATAGTTTCCAAGAACCAAAATCATGAATCAGGGTATCCTAAAATCATAAGTCAGATAAAATCCAAGATGATGTGCACAATCAAGCCTTCGCCTTGCCTTATCCTCTTAGATACCTAAAACCATAAAATCAAACTGTAAGCCAAAGCTTACTGAGTTCCTCCAAATTACCACACACAACAATATAATACAATGCACGCAACCAGCCCTTCAACACTAGGCTGGACCTCCACCGAACCTTCAGCTACAAGCTGGACTGCTCCTTTAGGCCTATAATATAAACTGGACCGCCCGGGTATCTTGGCCTTCAGTACAGACCAGGACCAACTCAACCCAACCAAACAATAACATGTCGACATATTGTAACATCCCAAAATTCATAGCCAAAAATTTCATTTTAAAATAAGTAATTATAAAAACCAGTAGTCTGAAACATCAATAGTGTCAACCCATATCAAAACCAGTATGTCAATTAACCAAAACATGTCATAGAAAATATTATCATAGTACAACTCCCAAAGATCTCATATGCGGAAAATCATAGTGTGATGCGCTGCGATCATGCCGACTCCTTTTCTTTTGAAAAAGAAGTACCTGAAACCAAAACTGAAAACCGTAAGCACGAAGCTTAGTGAGTTCCCCAATCATACCACATACCATACAATAAACATACTGCCTAGCATATCCGGGTGTCGGCCTACCCCTTCGGTCTCTTTCAACCGGTACTGCCTAGCATATCAGGGTGTTGGCCTACCCCTTCGGTCTCTTTCAACCGGTAACCACCTAGCATATCAGGGTGCTGGCCTACCCCTTCGATATTTTTGAACCAGTTATGGGGTCTATTTCACCCCTACCATTACCACACAATATCCTAGCATATAAGTACATATATCACATACTACCTAGCATCTCTGGGTGCTGGCCTACCCCTTCGGTCTCTTTCGATCGGTTACAGGGTCTACTTCACCCCTACTACTACCATGTAATAGCATAGCATACAAGCACATAAAACTCAAAGATAGTGGCATACCAGACAATTATCACAAAGACAATCATCTCTACTATAAACAACTACTAGTGGGCCGACATTGGTGCATTCGACCCACTCAAAGAGGGAAGGTAACTCACCTCATACTGTTGAAGTTCATCGCAAGAAATCCTTAGTTGTTGCCCTGGAAACTCCTCGAGTTATCAATACTAAAATATCACCCAATTAGCAATTGGGTCCCAACCCATGATCCATAATCCATACTTGGGGTAAAATGACCATTTTACCCCTAGCCCAACAAGATTCATAACTAAGGCCCAAGCCCAAAACTAAACAAGCCCAAAACTCTAAAATCCATAAAGGCCCACTAATGGCCCAATTTTCCAAATTGGGCCCGAACCCTTACATGGGCCTTACCCTAAAGCCCAATAACTTATTCCCAATCCGAACATACATCCTTAGCTGGTTCAACAAAGTTCATGCACTTACAAGCCCATAAGAAAGCTTAAACCCGAAATGGCCCACAAGGCCCAATAAGGCCCAAATCCATCCTGAACCTAACCCAAGAAGGCCCAATATACAAAAAGGCCTGAAATACTGAATGGTCAACCCTAGTGAACTCCTAGTCCAAGGTCTAAAGCCCAAAAAGTCAATAATCCAAGAAAGCCCAACCTGGTCGAGTACGCCCAGCGTACTCATCTGGTATGCTAAGCATACACCTGTTGGGGCTAGTACGCGCC